AAAACACACACAAAAAAACCCCTTGAATACTTTCAAGGAAATCACTGCTTCTTGCCATCTGAATCACCATCAAGTGCTGGCATACCTCATGGGCTAATCAAGACAAAAGAACACATAATTTAACATCCTTCTAGCAAGATATTTTTAGCAGGATGCAAACCCTCCAAAAGTATTTTGGGGAAAACCACCAAGTGACAGTAAAATAAAATGAATACATTCTACTGCTGACCAACGAAAATAAAAGACAAATAAACAGAAGGGGTGTTTTCTCACATTCAGGTTTTCTGACATTTCAAACAACTCCAGTACAGTGCTAATATAGCACAACCGGTATTAAGAGAATTACAATAGAACAGAGCGAGTATTACTAACAAATCAAGAGACCCTGAGCTGGTGTTAGGGAGAATGTAGCAGTCCTTTGGTTGGGCTACTGCTATAGTTTGGATCATGGTGAAGACTACGATGACTGCCAACTGATACATAGCTGTGTCTTTTTTTTCCGCTAAAGGGATTTGTGTTTGGACTTCACTATTAACTTCAGCAATACTGTCAGAATGAATTGCCTACTGCAATCTGAAAAAACAAGTGCTGCTAGCTGCAATCATACCTCAATAATCAAGCACTCTTCAGCTGTTAGCCCAGCGCTTCTTTCACTGTTCAGGAAAACAGAAGTGACTTGGAGCATGCCAAATAGGTAGGCTGATGCACCAGTCTCGCAAATGAATTAAACCAGGAGCTGAGATGCCTGGTGTGAAAAATCTGGCAGGCTGCTTACTCTTTGCTCACACAACTCGGGAATTTCAGTACTTTATGTGGAACTTCACACACTTCCTCTAGAAAGAAAGAAAACCTCTCACCACTGCCATGCTTCTGGAGAGGTGGGCTTTCTGCGCCTTATTTTTCAAGTTGTGTCCATGTGTACTACTGTAAACATTCACTCTAAGAGTGTTAAAAGCAAGAATAGTGAGGTTTGAATTGAAAAGTGGGACTGAAATTATCAAGAAAACAAAGAAGGAGGTTACACTTCTCACCAGCTACAGGAAACATGAGCTAGAAGCTGCTGATGCTGAAGTGTGCCCAATAAGCACACTGAAAAGCAGTAATTTGAATCATTAACTTATCATCACTTACCTGCGTTAACATGTACGTAATGCAAGTGTAGCAACTGCCGTAATACCAAGCCAGTAATTCCTCTTTGAGCAATCTTTCAGGGAACAGTAAGCCATGCACTTCAGAAACCGACTTAAAATGTTGTCTTTGACCTCAGAAAAGAGCACTTAACCTGCTCTTCCTGGCTAATTAGAAGTGATTAGCTGATCCTAAACTAATACGTAGATTGCAAATAGGCACATCGTGTCTTGGATACACCACCTTACGGAACTACTACAAGGTCTAAACCAATGAACTCTTACAGTCACCTGTGATGTGCTTTACAAAACAGTGCTGTTTGTTTGGTCAATTTTCAAATTTGTTCTGTTATCCTGACTGAATGTCCACTTTCACAACAAAGCCATAGAAAAAGAAAGAATTAACACTGCTCCTTCTTAACAGAACAGCGTTTATGCCCTTATGCTGCCAGACCAACTACGCCAAAGTACGAGGATCCCCAAGACAGCGTAGTGATTTAAAATGCACTCTTCAAAACCACATAAACTGACATCCTGAAGCAGGGACAGATGTTTGATATAATTTAAATGTAAACATTAAAGACAAATCAGTTACAGCAGGGAATCACTGATGAAATAGAAAGGCAATTAAACCCCCCTTCTCTTGGCCCTATTTGGTATGTTAAAATGCTATAACCAAGATTTCCCCCTCCCCCAATTAGACTAATCCCACATTTTTTCCTTGAAATACCTAGGTTTTGCATCTGATTTAAAAACCCCAATATGACTGCATCCTTACGCAAAAATTCCTGCCTTTACTATTAAAAGAATAAATCTTCCTGTGTAAAATACACTTTTATCATAGAATCACAGAATAGTTTGGGTTGGAAAGGATCTTAAAGATCATCTAGTTCCTCCCCCCTGCCATAGGCAGGGACACCTTCCACTAGACCAGGTTGCTCCCAGCCCCGTCCAACCAACCAGGCCTTGAACACTGCCAGAGATGGGGCCCCATTAAGCATTCAAATACACTGTAACATTGAACTACAGTAAATAATTTCAGGATGAACATGAGTGCCAATGTGAATGGTGCCACTGGAACGCCTATGGTTCAGAGCTATCCCACAGTAAAACTCTCTAAATAGAGGAATACACGATGAACAAAGCACTATCTAGGAAGTCTTAAATCTAATCTTTTGCTTAATAAAGTAAAAAACCCAAGAACTGGGCATAAAAATTGCTTGCTAAGAAAAGCGTATGTTCTCTTTTGGAGCAGAAATTGCTAGTATTTAGGATTATAGTCATTGTTGTCTCTTAATTGTAAAAGCCAAGATTAACTGACAATCTACAATGAGGGAAAGGAAAATTAAATCTTGTATCTTGATAATGTAATCAAATCCTATTTTGTGAATTGCCCAAGTTCTAAACTGCCCCAGCTTTATAAACTAAGTCTCATGTACTGTGGAAAAAAAAAATAAATTGGAAAACAATCTTCTGTTTATTCTCTAATTTTGGGTATCATATCAAATGAATGCTGTGCACTCTGTAACTTCAGTGTGTTAGACACAAAACCTTCCAAAATGGACTGGTTGAATTCTGCTTCAAAAGGCTGGCAAGCAAAACCTGCAACTACTAACAAGGGAAAACTGCAAAAATACTGATGGATCACCGTATGTTTTAGGTGACAGAAAAAATAACCTTCTCAGAGAAGAAAAACAAAAAGTAGACTACTGTCAATTTCTATTTAAAAATAAAGTTACTTTGCCATTCCTTTTTATTTTTTCTTCTTACGTATTTTTTTTCATTTACTGCGTGATGTTAAATAACGCTTTTACCAAGATATATATTTGTATTGTGCATCATTCATGCCATGGTGGTGTTCACCTGCCAGTATCATGTGCTATGTTATTATGTTAGGCACTCTGTGTAAGAATTCATAGATCACCTATTTTACAGTTGTCTGACAAGTATCATCTCAACTTCTATTACTATAGGTCATTACCAGGTTGACTCATCCTTCATCTTAAGTATCTGCAGACTAGTAAGAAAACCAAAAGCTTCAGGACATGCAGCTATTTTTAAAAGACTAAACATTCAAAACTACATATTTCCTTATATTTATTTTGTAACTGTATTTTTCTAAAACATATTAAAATAGAAAAGATGTTCATCTGATTCGTCATACAAAGAAAATACCAACATAGTAATAAAATACTGAAAATATATGAAAGCACCAAAACATTAAAATATTCATATTGGCAAAGACTGTAAGAATATATTTCTTGCAATTTTACAGTAAAGTGCTATTCAATCCACTCAAATTAAGGAATCAACATTTTAATAGCATGGTCATTATTATTTTAAGGTTACAAATTACTGTTACCTTTCTCAACAAGACAACAACCCATTTTGTGGGAAGCAAAGCATGTGAGTTGCATGCACGTGAAAATAATCTAAATAACAGCTTCTGAGTAAGCAGTGAACGATATAAGCTGCCAACTCATTAAGAAAACAAAATACTGAGACACAAACTGAACAGAAATGGCAACAGTGACAAATTAAGAAAGTGCAGATGTGGTAAAAGGTTGTGTAAATTACAAAAGAAGTCTGTGCACCAAACAGTTCTGTAGCCTTGCCTTTTACATGTTAACTTTTTCAGAAAGTGTATCATTGCTTTATTAATGTGTTTATTAATGCATTTTTTTAAACTGCCCTTATCTATTCTCTAGAAATGATACTACATCTACAGTGCACTGGAGAGATACTGTAAGCAAAACCAGAAGCAGAGTATGATCTTTATTTTTCCTCAATAATCTCTTCGTCTATTGAAACTAAATGATCTGTTACAAAGCCAATTTGTAGCAAAAATTAATTCTAGTAAAGAAATTATTTTAAATATTTAAACCTCATCAAGAGTGAAAATTTTATATGTATGAAAGATACCATCAGTCTCTTTTTAAGCATTTATCATTTTAATATACATATTTACAGCAATGAGTACAAAGAATCCTGTTAGTAGTTCTCACTAGCTTCATATACCACTTCCACCAGTTTCTGAGAAACGGCAGATATAACACTTTTATGTTGCCTTGAACAGTATTTAATCTTCCTTGCTTTATGACTTGACTTGCTTTTTTCATAAATTCATCTGTAATTTAAGCATATTGCACATCTCAGGATAAGTTCATACACTGACTATGTATTAGCCTTTTATGAACCAATTATGGGTCATCAAAAGTCAACTTTCACACTTTTTCCACAATTTGACTAAGAATTGCTTTCAAACAAACAAATAAAGCATAGCAATTGTGTTTTTATGGTGATGATTTCATTAATATCTTTGGAATCAAACAAGGGTTATATTCCTGGTCAATATGACTGTATGCTATTTGGTAGGAAATATTTACGAGAACTCTGCATCCATAAAAAGCACAAAAAATAAGGAATTCAACCAATGAAAGAAATGAGCCTGAATTACCAAAATAATCAGTAATAGCAAATATTTTCCTTTATATATGCATGTGCACAGACTGTATTAAAAATCTGCCTGTAGAACATCATTTCTGTAAATTTTCTTGAACAGGTTAACCTTAGAATACAGTAATTTGACTGCAACTTCTGTGAGAGCAATTCAGAGTGTAAGAATGAACATGATGAAAAAAATTAAATATTGTATTTAAAGTAGTTAGAGAAAAAACAAACCCTGAACAGTCTTAAATTATTGTGTATTTGGTTTCCTCCTTCCAGTTCAGTAGTATTTATTGAGTTGTACAGTGAAAATAGGTCCTAGCTCTAACATCTTCCTAATGCCATGTTCCAAGTGTCATCTTTCAGTAATTTCCTTTGCTGGTCATTCATTTCTTCTTTTTTTTTTTCCCCCCAGCAAATTGTATCATCGTTCATTGTTGTGGGCTCACAACCCTCATTATGGCAGGTCCAGAATCTGAGTGCAGCACGGCAATCTCTTCCACTCCAACCAGCCATGACAGGCAAGCACATCCAGTGCACAGCAGTTCTTTTTAGCTTCTCTGGGTATACACCAGGTAGAAGCAGAAGGCAACAACAGTAACTGAGAGTAATGATAAAACAATTGACAACTGCTGGAACCAGAGGCAGCGATCAATCTGTTCTTGAAGTCTTTTATTAATTTGTAGTAAATGAGTTAGCTGAAAACAGAAAGAGTTTCATTTAATTAGAATTATTGCACATGAAAGTACTTGTTAATTTAGAGTTATTTAGCCAGTAACTATAAGCAGGGAGGGGAGAAGGAACATACACACATAGGGACACAAGAAGACTTCTCTTAGTGCACTTAATGATACCTTTTTATCACTACATAATTCAGGAACCAATTCCACTAAAGGAACTTCAAATTTTAAGTTATGGATAGTCCCTATCACCTACATCAAGAAGGTGACATCTTTATACTAGGAACCAAAAGACACTCATACCCCAGATCTGTAATATACACAAAAGGAATGAGCAAACTGCATTGAAAACAGTGTTTTATTAAAACATAACCATTCACAATATTATTAAATCATTATCACAGCTTTAGTTACTTTCTGTTGCTGAGCTTTTAAAATAGTGTAATTTACACAGTACCAAAGAGGTTTAGTACAAATTCTTTTACCTGTATCATATTTTGTTCAATATTCAGGACAAAGGAATACATTATTACCTGTATATGTAAATCTTCATTGGTTTTTGCTGGAATATTCAATGCATTCTCTTTTAATATCAGGGAAAAAGGCTTACTACTTTCTATGACATGACACCTGAGCCTGTGAAAAGGGGAAAAAAATATGCACCAAACATCATAAATTTAATGTAACATTGTATAATTAATAGTAAACAGTCCATCTAACACTTATTATATGTGTTTTATCATCTGTTCTGGTTGATTAGTTTTCTAAATGACTATTGCAATGATGGTCTGAAAAAGCTTCCTCAGTCCACAATTACATTTTGACAGCTTTTGATATAGAAAACAAGATCAAAATTATCTGCATGCTCAGTTAAAATGTATTATTTCAAATTCATAGCACAGGATGTACTGGACTAGTCAGTCAAATACTTACTACCAATTTATCCAACAGCAAACAAAATCTAAAGGTTTTCTTTTTGTTTTAAACCTTAGCATCAATGTTTTTTAATAGAGTCCACCTTTTCTATAACTGAAAACGCAGGAACAAAATTTCAAGCCACAGTTGAAGGTAGTGGAGTCCCACACAATTTATAAAATAAAGCAGAAGCTCCTCTAATAACATGCAAATCAATCAGCATGGGATGAATTTATTTGCTAAAGAAATGGTTAAATTGAAGCTGTGACATTTTTCTATTTTCGGGAAAGAGAAATGCTAAAACTTCTTCAGCAAGACAAAACAAAAAAGGGAGAAATATGTGTAATAAAATATAAGTAGATTCCTCAGATAAAGTACTTGCAGCACATATGGTATTAAAGAGACAATAATTATATTCTCGACTACTTTTAATCTATGTTTAATCAGTAGAGCAGAAGCCTCAGCAATATACTTCAGCCTGTAAGCACACAACTGGGTTTGGAGAATCCTTCATTGATTATGATATGCAAATGCTAGAAATCAGCTAAATGATAATGGCTAAAATAAAATTGCTGCCAGCAGAAAACCGTATGCTCACCTATGTTCCATCACTTTGGTCCTAGGGACTTCTTTCCAAAACTGCGTCAGTTCTGGTACACCTGCTCCAGAAGACTGGTCCATTTCTGCTGCCATGATAAGGAAACGATCCTGCAGAGATGCTGCAAAACCTGCCCTCAAAGAAGAGAAAAAAAAAAAAAAAAAGCAAAAGTGTCCTTAGATAAAATGACATTATCACACAGCTTATAGAAAAATTTTGGGAAAAAAACACCCCAACCAACCAAACAAGAAGAACCCATACAAAAAAACAATCAACAAAAACCTCAACAAAACGTTTATTGCAGGACATCAGACACTGGCTAGAAATAAAAATAATGAAATGATTCTCTGAAGCTCAACAATTTTTATTATAGTTTCCTCAAATTCTAGTTTAATTTTACAGAATTAGTTTCATCTAAATGATCCAAGGACAACCCAGGATTTTGTAAAAAACGCTTTCTCCAGCAAATTCACCTGAACTTGCAACAATTTAGAGAACTGTTTTATGACAGATAAACTCCCACTATAACAGAGCACAAGTGAGGCACCTGCCACTATGCCTTTTCTTTTTGAAAACAAGAAACAGAATGGGCTGCAGACAACAGCTGCTTATGCCTAAGTGGAGCAGTGAATCAGCACAGGCAGTTACTCAAATGCTGTCTGACACCCATGATTTTTTTACAAATGATAACATTCCCATACAACAGTCAAGCAGACATGGGTGTCTGTCGGTCTGAAACCCCAGCAAGCACATACAAAGGTTAGCATCTAGAGCATCAGCCTGTTAAAACTTGCCCGGACTTCTGAAAAAAATCTATTATAAGCTTTTACTTACCACCATGAAGAGAGACTATGATATCCAGTGATGTGCCAGGTTCACAGCTGCTGTTACTGGGTTTAACTCTGTATTTTTCAGGAGCAGTTGTTCTCACCTATGAACAAGAAATACTAAGCAAGCGTATAGTAAATGCATGTACGAACTATGATTGTTTCATAACCTCCTTCACTCTGCAACAACTAAAATCCCCAAAAGCTTAAATATTCAGTCTTTAAAATATTTTCTTTTGTAGGAGTAATCAGACACTGATATTTCAATTTTTCCTCTCCCTCAACCACTTCTATCTTTTCTTTTCTGGCGTATGCTATTTTTTTTCTTTTATAACACATATTTAAAAAGAGCCAAGAATATCAAATGCACTATCTGCTAAAATTTTTAATATGAAAGTATGGAAACTTTAGTTAGAGAACACAAAAGGTGGGGTGGAAAAACAAATCAAGATGCAAGTCAACTCAGTTCTGAAGCAAATAAAACTGCATTGATTCCTTTAATGGTGACATCTGCAGATTAAGTTGCATCGTTTTGGAGCATTTCAGGAAGTTTAGACTCTCACTAAAGAAGTAACCACTGCCATAGCTCTTTTTCAGTCAGTGCTCCAAAGATTTGTATTCCTGATTACCCTCTTTAGGGTGGTACATAATAGGCATAAATTCAGCCAGATTTCTTCTATCTGCTCCAAACATCAGAACAAAATAGAAAATTTAGACTGAAAATTGGGTTTAATAGTATTTTGTCCTCCTTACTCAAAACAAGTTACACATTTAGTGAAGTAAACGAGGCCACATATAAAATAATTACCTTAAAAGCCACTATGTTTTTAGTGACATTTGTGAGAACTATCAAACATTTTTTCTCTCCGGTTTCTTTGGATCCAAAATATAGCTCTTCCGCTGGGCTAATAAGAAATTTAAGGAGAATTAGTTTCTTCAAATTATCTATACAACATACCATAGAAAAAATATGACCACAGAGGAAAATAAAATACTTTCAACCCTGCAGCTACAGTCACTATAAATAGTTTTTCATGAAGAAAGCTGTGAAAATAAAACGCAGAAATTCTGTAGTGAAGCTCAGGGTTGACTCATGAGCACAAGCAGATCTAGCTGCCTCAGCTGATTACTGCCCTTGACTTCTTCCATCTGGAGGAGCTGTGACCATCTGCCACAG